AGAGTGAGACGGAAAAGATCATTGAGCAATTCATGAAAGAAACTGAGGTCTTGGTTTGGTTGCAGCATAAAAATCTGGTTTTACTTTATGGTCGCACTTCTCGCCATAGCAACAAACACATGCTAGTGTATGAATACATCTCCAATGGCACTCTTTCTAAACATCTGCATGACTCTTCCTGTGATAAACTACCATGGCATACTAGATTGAACATTGCCATCGAAACTGCAACTGCACTGGTATATCTGCATGACTCAGGTATCATCCACCGAGATGTGAAAGGGAGTAACATTCTGTTGGACGAAAATTTTACTGTTAAAGTTGCAGATTTTGGATTCTCACGGTATCTCCCAGATTATGCCACGCACGTTTCCACTATCCCAGTAGGAACTCGTGCTTACATAGATCCTGACTACTATGAATCTGGAAGGGTCTGTGACAAAAGTGATGTCTATAGTTTTGGGGTGGTCTTGTTTGAACTTATATCTTCCAACTCTCCAAGTTTAGTTGAGGGAACAGATTTTACTCTTGCACAGTTTGCGAAGAGAAAAATATTAAACAAGGAATTAAACGCGGTAGTGGATCCAAGCTTTTGGTTTGGTGTTGACAGAAACATGATGGAAATGATAACAGCAGTGGCAGAGTTAGCATTTCAGTGTGTGCAGTGTCCCAAGGTACTCAGACCTTCCATGAAACAGGTGCTGGAGACACTTGAGGGCATTAGCAAAGGAACATGGGGATTCAACCAGATAACATAGTCTTTGTTCCTTCTGCCAACAAGCCTGATTCTTCCAAACCATTCTTTTGGTTTTTGGTCTAGTAATTGGATTTTGGTTGAATAGATATGGAGTTTTTTTGCTTTAGTGTAGTAATTTGAGGTTAGCCATGCATCTTGCAAATGATGTGCATGCAAAATAGTAGGTTGAAAAGAAGCTTTTGATTCAGGGTGTGTATTCTCTAGCTTGATTACTTCTTTTGAGCCACATTGAACATGTATCCTCGTCTCATTGAATTCATGTTCAATGTTTACTGTAGTTTCAACATGTATATATTCCCAATCCCATATATATTACACTTTCAATCATCTTTTCCTTCATTTGTTCAGAGCCATATTCTTCATGCACATTTGTTGTTGGCAGGAAAAATAACTATCACCATTAAAATTTATATCAAAAGATAGATTTTTCTGAGTTTTATTTTGATACAATGGTGCAAAGTATTTTGTTTTTTTCAATTGAAAATGATATTTTATTAGAAAATTTGTCTTTTTCCTTGACGCGGTACTAATGGATAATGGATATCAGCTAACAATATATTTTTGAAACATTTTTCTTTGCTCGTTTTATTAATTAAAACTATAAAATTATAAGTAAAGTTTATCTAATAAATATAAAATCAAACTTTATTATCGTTAATGACAAAAAGAATGCTTTAAAAATTTATATAACCAGTTTTTTCTTTTCTTTCATAGTATTATGAATACAATTGAATTGAGTTTTTTTTATTTAAGATTTTAATTTTTGTGAACAAAAATTATAATTAAAATACTTTATTATTAAAATGGTAGTTCAATTTTTTTTTAAAAGTTATATAATATAAAACCAACAAATACTTCAGTCAACAAAACACTGTTGTAGCAAAGTCATCCTTAATAAATGGAAGTTCATGTAAAAAATCTGAAGGTGTTGTGTTGCAGTTCCTGTTTCCTTCCTTGCTTTTTCTGCAGCTTATCTGTTCATTCCTTTCCAATGCCCCCTTTTTGTTGATCTTTAACTGAACCTCAATACCGATTAAAACTTCACTTCCATTACTCTTGATGCTAAAGTTCTCAACTTCATAGAACAACGCTCATTAAGAAGGGCCTTATTACCTTGGGGAATTTCTTTTTCTAGATTACTTGTTAGTGGCTAAGTTGAGACTTTCTGAGCCACTCTACCTGAATCAGTACCTCAGTAGCAGATCATTTTTTTGAAGGGGTATACAATTTATTCTCCAACACTGTTTTACATATAATATTCTTGATTGTGATGAATTCTTTTGTGTAAATGACGTTGTTCATCTCATTCAACCAAAAGTATAATCTCAGCACAAAAGATATGAATAAAAACCATCTGTACATGAGAATAGTATGTATAGGAAAACTGGTATTTATCGAATTCTCTGTTTATTAGTGTTTACAAGGAATAAATTTTGGATACTATCACACTCCCACATCGAGACTAAAACAATTTAAATATTTCTTCTTCCTTCCATTGAGATGACTTTTAAAGACATTTTTACACTCTATTGAGATGACTTTTAAAGACATTTTTACACTCTAAAACGGACAATACTTGACATAAATAGCATTCAAATTCAGGTATTATCACTAACCATGTAGTTCAATTAGTACATTCTTCAGAAAATTAGTGTAGTTTCTGCCAAAAATATTGGGAAGGAACATATGCAGAAAAGTTACTGTTTAGTGATGTTATTCGCTCAGCGCACAGGTATTGGTGCGTTATGCGAATTTCCTTCTTCTGTCAGTGCGAATTTTGGCTTTCGCTTTGCGAAAATTGGCTGACAGAGTCTAAATAATACACCATTTCCTGTACAATATTTTACATAACAATCTACTACCTATTACAACTTTTCAATGAGGAACAACATGAATAATTACAAGATTGAGCTTATTGTATAAAAACAACTCTTTTTCACACTTATCATTTAGTCTTTTGAGGGAATTTAACACCAATAAGTTTTTAGCAAACCCATTTGAGAGATCTGACGTTATTTTTTATCCAAAACCTTAAAAAATTATATTTATAATTCTTCTTCTTTATATAATGTGGACTTTATGCATGCTTGAAACTTGCTTGGATTTTCTAATAGGAACAATCCCTTTTATTTTAGCTGATGCTCACATTTTTCATCTCATTCCATTAACTTCCAATTCTTTGATCTTATTTGAACAGGAATTAGACTATGTAGAGTTTAACATGCAGAGACATTTTTATTTCTAATTAGTCACCTTTTACCTCAGTCACCATCAGCATCCCAACGACCCTGCAACTCGTGGTAATTACCTCATGAGATTTAGGTGGGATCTCTTTGAGTGCTGCTTCCCTAGCACATCTTCTGACACATTTCAAAAGCGCAAAAACTTGAAGTGGCCAATCTTTCCCTACAAGGAAATTGAAAAGGCAACAAATAATTTTGATAATCTCGTCATCTTGGAAGTGGAGAAAGAAAGAAAGGCTTTATCAGTCAGTACTACGGTAAGAGACTGTGCCATAAGCTTCTATATAGAGGGATTTTGGACAATTTTCTGTGACCGGAACAAGTATCAATGTATAACTTCAATTTTGATTAACATGAAAAACAGTTAAAAGACTATACCTCATGATTTTGCTCAAAACATTTTCTTGTGATTATTTATATCAATTGTTTTAGGAACACTTGAGGATGGACGTGAGATTACAATCACGCGCTTTACAGAAGACAATCTCACCATAACTCGGATTAAAACCCAGATGAAAGAAAAACAAAAAGTGCAAAGACAAATTCATGCTTATTCATTAGTGTTTCACATACACTTTCATAGGTTGAGACAAGGTCCAAGAGAGCTAGAAAATCATTTGTTAAGGATTGATTTTAAAAAGATGTAAAATCAATCCTTATGTGTGATAGATTTTAAATTTATATCAAAAGATAGATTTTTCTGAGTTTTATTTTGATACAAAGGTACAAAGAATTTTGTTTTTGGCAATTGAAAAATAATATTTTATTAAAATTTTGTCTTTTTCCTTGACGCGTACTAATGGATAACGGATAACAGCTAACAATATATTTTTGAAAACATTTTTCTTTGCTCATTTTACTAATTAAAAGTTATTTAAAACTATAAAATTATAAGTAAAATTTATCTAATAAAATATAAAATCTTATCGTTTATGACAAAAGGATTGCTTTTATAACCAATTTTTTTTTCTTTCATAGTATTATGAATACAATTGAATTTTGAATTGAGTTTTTTAAATAAGATTTTATTTTTTGTGAACAAAAATTATAATAAAAACACTTTATTAAAATGGTAGTTCAAAACTATAATTATATAATATAAAACCGACAAATACTTCAGTCAAAACAACACTGTTGTAGCAAAGTCATCCTTAATAAATGTATGTTCATATAAAAAATCTGAAGTGTTGTGTTGCAGCTCCTGTTTCCTTCCTTGCTTTTTCTGCAGCTTCTCTGTTCATTCCTTTCCAATGCCCCCTTTTGTTGATCTTTAACTGAACCTCAATACCGATTAAAACTTCACTTTCCAATACTCTTGACTCCAAAGTTCTCAACTTCATCGAACAACACTCATTCAAGAAGGGCCTTATTACCTTGGAGAATTTCTTTTTCTAGATTACTTTGTCAGTAACAGATAATTCTTTGAAAGGGGTATACAATTTATTCTCCAACACTGTTGGGAGCACCTTGTCTTTCTTGGGATTGTTTGTTCTACACTAGGTAAGAAACCTAGTCTCTGTTTTACATATAATATTCTTGATTGTGATGAATTCTTTTGTGTAAATGATGTTGTTCATCTCATTCAACCAAAAGTATAATCTCAGCACATAAAGATATGCATAAAAACCATCTGTACATGAGAATAGTATCTATAGGAAAACTCGTATTTATCTAATTCTCTTTTTATTAGTGTTTACAAGGAATAATTTTGGATACCATTCAAATTAAGGTATTATCACTAACCTGATCAATTAGTACAAGGTTGTTATAGATTGATCAGGTATCTTAAACCCAAGTCATAAGTATGCAACTATGTTAAACACAGAAAATGTTTTATTGCATATAGTGGTCTTGTCCGGTTCATCTTACTCCATTAACTTCTAATTCTTTGATCCTATTAGAAAAGGAATTAGACGATATAGAGTTTAACATGCAGAGAAATTTTGATTTCTAATTAGTCACCTTTTACCTCAGTCACCATCAGCATCCCAACGACCCTGCAACTTGTGGTAATTACCTCATGAGATTTAGGTGGGATCTCTTTCAGTGCTGCTTCCCTAGCACATCTTCTGACACATTTCAAAAGCGCAGTAACTTGAAGTGGCCAATCATTCCCTACAAGGAAATTGAAAAGGCCACAAATAATTTTGATCAATCTCGTCATCTTGGTAGTGGAGAAAGAAAGAAAGGCTTTATCAGTCAGTACTACGGTAAGAGACTGCTTCTATATAGAGGGATTTTGGATAATTTGCTGTGACCGGAACCAAGTATCAATGTATAACTTCAATTTTGATTAACATGAAAAGAAGTTAAAAGACTATACCTCATGATTTTGCTCAAAACATTTTCTTATGTTTATTTATATCAATTGTTTTAGGAACACTTGAGGATGGACGTGAGATTACAATCCAGCGCTTTACAGAAGACAGGCGCTACATATTGCAACAGTTTATCAATGAAACTGTTATCCTAAATTACTTACCTCACAAAAATATTGTGTCAATTTACGGATGTACTTCTCATCGTGAGGAACCTCTGCTCGTGCATGAATACCTATCCAGTGGAAATCTTGCTGCACATTTTCGAGGTGAAAAGGACGAAAACATTGCACTACCCTGGCTTAAACGATTGGATATAGCCATTGATATTGCAAATGCATTGGCCTATCTTCACTATTACGGCATCATCCACCGTAATGTGAAATCCAGCAATATTCTCCTAGATGTGAACTTTTCTGCTAAACTTGGTAACCTTCATTTATCATGCAAACTTCCAGATGGAGTTCCTGTTGACACCACCCATGTTACTAGTGATATAGTAGGTTCAAGTGGTTATATAGACCCAGAGTATTTGACAAAAGGCCAGCTTAGTGTGAAAATTGATGTTTATAGCTTTGGAGTGGTGTTGTGTGAGCTTCTATCATCAAAGCTTTCAATATTCCATATTATGAATGAGGAGGATAATCTTAATACCCTTTTAAGCAGAAAAATTGAAAACAAAACTTTGGTGGAGCTGTTTGATCCGAGACTTGGGTTCCAATCAAACCTTAACATCAAGCAGTTGATGACTGCTACAGCTGAGCTTGCAGTTCTCTGTATGAAATGTCCACAAGAATCGAGGCCAAACATGGAACAGGTGCTAGAGATTCTCAATGAAATGAAGCAAGGGAGATATGTAACAACCTCTCGCTCAACTAAAGGTACAATATCTAAACCATATTATATCCCTTTTCCTCTCTCATGGTTTTCTGGCTTCTATATGTTTTAGTGTTTACAGACTGAGGATAAAAGGTTTTAATACGGTCTTATAATCCGTACATTTCAGCTTTGAAAATCTTCCACCATGCTGAACTTGAAGAAGCTACTAACAATTTTGGCACCTGCCTTGGTAAGGGAGGGTATGGCAGCGTATACTATGGTGAGAGACTAATTAGTCCTCATAATTTAAATCATGGTTCTCTGTAAGAAATATGCATATAGAAGTTAGATTATGCACAGTGTAAAACAGTTTTATATTGTCATCTAATCAGAAATCACCATGTATAATAAGTTTATTGGCTTCAATAATGAACATGTTAACATTTGTGTCAATGGTTATTTCTGATTAATTGACCATGTAAACACCTTTTACATTGACCGTGCATAATTATTAAAATCATGCATATATCCTCCTTTATTTGTTACACATACAAAAATATTTCACACCAATAGATTTATCTTTGTTCTGATGGCATTCCATTGTAATAGGAAAACTTAAAGATGGACTAGAGGTTGCAATAAAATGTTTCCATGACGAGAATGAGACAGAAGAGACCATTAAGCAATTCATGAAAGAATCTGATATCTTAGGTCTCTTGCACCACCAAAATCTGGTCTCACTCTATGGCCGCACTTCTCGCCATTGCAAGAAACACATGCTAGTGTATGAGTACATCTCCAATGGCACACTTTCCAAACATCTTCATGAGTCTTCCGGTGATAAACTACCATGGCAAACTAGATTGAATATTGCCATTGAAACTGCAACTGCATTGGTATTTCTTCATGACTCAAGTGTCATCCACCGTGATGTGAAAGGGAGTAACATTCTGTTGGATGAAAATTTTACTGTTAAAGTTGCTGATTTTGGATTCTCACGGTCTCTTCCAGATCATGTTACTCATGTTACAACTATTCCAGTAGGAACTCGTGCTTATATAGATCCTGACTACTATATATCTGGAAGGGTCAGTAACAAAAGTGATGTATATAGTTTTGGAGTGGTCTTGTTTGAACTCATATCATCTATCCACCCAAGTTTTGTTGCAGGCACAGATAATGAGACTCTGGCACAGTTTGCAAAGAGAAAAATTTTGAACAATGAATTAAACGAGATAGTTGATGAAAGCTTTTCCTGTGGTTCTGACGATAACATTTTGGAAATGATATCAGCAGTGGCAGAGTTAGCATTTCAGTGTGTGCAGTGTCCCAAGGAGTTCAGACCATCCATGAAACAGGTGCTAGAGACCTTGGAAGGCATAAGTAAAGGAAAATGGGGATTCAACCAGATGACGTAGTCTTCATTCACACACACTACCAGTGATTATCAGTTAGACAGTAACTTCAGAAACCTGCTTTTGAGATTCACTTTAGATCATTGTTTCACTTTCACAATTGTTTATTTGTATCCCACAATAGGAATGTTGTTTTCTTCTCACTGTTCTCTTTTTCTTTTTCTTTGTTGGTTATTTAACTGTGTAGTCACACCATTTATATAAAGAATATCATTTGTTCTTCTGAAAAATCTTGTCTATTCTTTTGCATCCTTTCTTCCAAAAGCATGGTTCCTTTAATTTCAACAACGCAGACATGCTAGACTAGACATTAGTGTTTATG